GTAGGGAAATCTTACATCAGTGCACGCCAAGGTGCTAATTCCTCCTTATTTATAAATGCAAACCTAGGGGCCAATTTTATAGGCCGACGGTCAGAGTTCGTATATTTCAATGGGGCTGTAATTTTAGCACAAACGTTTTAGAAACTGGTATTTTTATTGTGCCTTTGGAAGTGACTAGTTCGTCAAATAATTTGCATCGACTGAAACTTAATTTAGTGCAAAGTATAAAGACAGGCCCTATATTTTCTGCCAAGATACCCACATCATGCACAAAAATAGACCAAACCCAGATGTGAAAATCTTGAAAGGCACTATTGAGATTTTCAAACTATCCACATACTATTTAAAGAAGGTTTCACTCTTCTCTATAAAAGCTGATATGGTCCACAAATTGTTTATAAGTGTGTTTTAAAATTCTTCCAAATGAGGTTCAGTTTTTATTATTATATTCCTCTGTACATAATTTACATTGGATTTGAGCACCACCTTAAAAAAAAAAAAAAAAAAAAAAGCCAGACCAGGTGCTTCTGTCAATTTCTCACTTTGCAGTTGATTTGATAGAGGTGTGGCAGCATTCTTCAAAGTTCTGCTACCTTCTAGAACTTCGTATGTCAAATTTCCTTAATATCAAATTCATGAGTAATTAAAAATTTAACAGATTAAACTATAATTAAGCTTAGAGCATATACTGAAAATGATGGCAATTTTTGCCTGTCTTCATTTTGTGTTATATGAAGATACAATCCAATAATGGCTCATTTCTTTAAACTTCAATTACCTTAAGGCATATCAAGTGGAAAAGAGACATACGTTTCTTAGTAATAATTCTTTACAGTTTAAAGTAGTATTTTCATATACTTTATCTAATTTGATATAAAATCCCTGCACATTTTCAAGGCTAATAATTATATATGTCCATATTTTAAAATTATATTTATAATATATACTTGTTTTTAGGAGATAGTTGGAGGTGCATTTAGAGGTAAAGGGACATGATATTTGCAACTAATTGTCAAATATAGAGAGAGTGAGCAAATGAGGCAAAATTTTAATAATCAATGAGTATGAATCTGGGTCAGTGATGTACAGGAGGTCTTTGTATTTCACATGTGACTCTTTGGTCAGTTTGGAATGATTTCAAAGTAAAAAGTAAAACAAACTATATATATATTTATTATTATTAATAGATTTTCCCCTATTAAACATCACAAAGAAACAGTAAAGTATCTATCGCTATCAAAGTAACAACAATTAAACCTGGATGATTACCTTTCAGAGGGTATTAGTGCCCCCTACCCTATTTTTCATAAAAAATGAATCATAATGTAAATATATTGAATAATTCTGCAACCTGTTTTTTTCCACTTAAACTTCTATTTTATACTTATATTCTTAATAGGATTCTCCTTCTTTATTCTCTTTTTTAAAAATAAATTTATTTATATATTTCTTTATTTTTGGCTGTGTTGGGTCTGTATTGCTGTGCGCAGGCTTTCTCTAGTTGCGTTGAGCGGGGGCTACTCTTCATTGGGGTGCACGGGCTTCTTATTGTGGTGGCTTCTTTGGTTGAGTGTGGGCTCTAGGTGCACGGGCTTCAGTAGTTGTGTCTCGCGGGCTCTAGAGCGCAGGCTCAGTAGTTGTGGTGCACGGGCTTAGTTGCTCCGCGGCAAATGGGATCTTCCCCAACCAGGGCTCGAACCAGTGTCCCCGGCATTGGCAGGCGGATTCTTAACCACTGCGCCGCCAGGGAAGCCCCTTCATTCTCTTTTAACTTTTTGTTTTTATTATATACAGATACAGAAAACCATGCAAAATAAATGCATAGCTTGTGTATTATAAGAAAGCCAACACCCTTGTACCTAGTACTCAGATCAAGGAACAGAATTTTCTCAGGCACCTAGAAGCCCCTCATAGACCCCATCCTACCCACGGCCCCCACCCTCCCTCCAAAAGTAATTACTACTCTGAGTTTTATTGCAAGCACTGCTTTGAATTTATGTTTTTTTCACCTAAGTGTGCATCCCTAGACTCTACAGTTTGGTCTTACCCATTTTTAAAATTTATGATATCTTTTAATTCACTTTTAATATTCAGGCCTCCCTCCACCCGTTTTTAACAAATATTACAATTTATCTATTGAAGCACCTGGGGCGTTTGACCAGGAAAGTTTCCCAGTCTGGATTTGCTGATTTCCTGCACACGGAAGATTTAGCATGTTCCACTGTCCTTCGTGTTTCCTGAAATTTGAAAGTTGGATCCAGAGGCTTGATCAGACTCAGGTTCAATCTCTTTGGCAAGACTAGAGGTCATGTGTCATGGGCTCTCTCATCAGGAAGCACATTATGTCTGGTTATCTCTCTTTTTATGCTGTTGGGAGTCATTGATGCTCAGTGCCTAGATCCATTAGTTCATTGGGGGTTGCAAAATGGTGATATTCTTGGCTCTACCAACTTTTACAGTCACTAGTTGGATTTTTTTTTAAATAAAGAAATGCTTCCTCTCATATTATTTGGTTAGTAGGTTCAGTTCACACAGTAACAGCAGATGTTTGATCTTTTCCCTTTTATTTACTAGTTAAAAAAATATATTATTTATTTATTTATTTGGCCACGTCAGGTCTTAGTTGCAGTGCAGGCTCTTTGTTGCGGTGTGTGGGCTCTCTAGTTATCCCGCAGCATATGGAATCTTAGTTCCCCGATCAGGGGTCGAACCTGCATCCCCTGCCTTGGAAGGTGGATTCTTAACCACCGGACCACCAGGGAAGTCCCTATTTACTAATTTTTAAGATAATAAATTTGTTCTCTTGTATCTACTAAACATGACCAATTAATTTTTAAAAGTATCAAAATGGACTCATAGATTTAAAAGTATTTGACGGTTTTAAATCCACTTCTATTTTCATTCTTACTTAACTCATCTGTCCCATCTGTGGCCAGTGGGAACCTCTTAGGTTGGCTCCTGGGTCCTTTTGACATAAGACCAGTGGTCTTTGATAACTTCCTTTGTATCTGGTATGACAAGTTATTCAAAGTTATCTTTCATCACAAGTTATCTTGCATCTTTCCTGCCCAGTCCTGAAATTAGTATTTTTCCAGAAAGTCTTTTTTCTTTTAGTGGTAAATTGTATCACAAGAACACAGTTTGGGTACCAGGAAGCTTCACTGTCATTGCTACAGGGTTGGTCATTCTTCCTAGGCCTTTCAATGGACAGAGAACTAGGTTATGAATACATCTAATTCAAATTCACACTGCAGTGTTTTGTTTTTTTTAAAATTTATTTATTATTTATTTTTGGCTGTGTTGGGTCTTTGTTGCTGTGCACGGGCTTTCTTTAGTTGTGGTGCGTGGGCTTCTCATTGCAGTGGCTTCTCTTGTTGTGGAGCACGGGCTCTAGGCGAGCGGGCTCAGTAGTTGTGGCTCCAGGGCTCTAGAGCACAGGCTCAGTAGCTGTGGTGCACGGGCTTAGTTGCTCCGCGGCATGTGGGATCTTCCCGGACCAGGGCTCGAACCCGCGTCCCCTGCATTGGCAGGTGGATTCTTAAGCTCTGCGCCACCAGGGAAGTCCCACACTGCAGTGTTTTTATGTAACTTCTTCTGTTTTATATTTATACATATACCTTTATCGCATATTAAAAATCCTCGTTTTCAAGGACACAGAAGATGATGGAATTGGGATATACTACAGTGATTCATTTGCTTTTTTCCACAATATGTACACAACAGCCTCAGAATAGCATACTAATACCACCTGCTCAACCATTACTGAAAACAGTTCACAATTCTTTTTTTTTTTTTTTGCATCTGCTGTCTCTATTATTCCCTCATTTAAAAATAGTTGTGTTATATTGACATTATCAGAGCATATAACATACACGTTCTCTCCCACTGTAGCTCTCATTAGTCTTAGTTTTACAAATAACTATATATTTAATGCTTGCCACTACTTTTTTCATATAAAAAGATGATTCTTTATCCAACTTAGACACAAATATAGGTCAAATAGTTCTAGATGGCTTATAAAGACAAAGAGCAGACCCCTGACCCACCCAGCCCACCCCCAATTCTCCCTCCCCAGAGGCAACCATTTTCAATTCTTCCAGTTGGATTTTATGGTGTTTGCATCCATATTGCAGAACACATGCTTATGTGAATCTCTTGATATGTTCATAGACCTCTTGGTTTCCTTCCTGCCCTTGAAGCGTCCCTCTTGGAGCCTCCTATCCTACTGCAGTCTATGGCTGCCAAGCCCACTGCTGTCCTGGGATCTGCCTTCCCCATCATTCCAGGGGTGCCCTTTATTATCTAGCCTGTGGTGGAGCCCCTGTTCCCTCTTCCTTATTTTATTCCCTTCTTTTGGTGGAGCACATCTTCCAGTGCTTTCTTGGGAAGGTGCCACCTCACATTGATGGAAATGTCTGTACCCCACCTCCACTGTTAAGGGAGAGCATGCTTGCATTTAGAATTCTAGCTGTATCCTGTCTTCCTTCAGATGTTTCCAGGCTTTGCTCCCTGTCTCTTAGCCTCCATGTGTGCTATAGATTGAGCAAGTGGATGCCTTTCTCATTCCTGAGCCTTTCCATGTGAGCTGGTTTGGCCCATCCCTTTTAGGTACCAAATGATCTAATGTTTCACCATGGCATTCTCTGTGTGGATCTTTCTCCATCCATTTTGCTGGGTACTGTGTGGGCCCTCTCAACCTGCAGATTGATGTCTTTCAGTTCTGGGACCATTA